ATTGAGCTTGTAATCTTTTATTCGATGAGTCACTTTTTAATGCTAATTTATGCACAGTCCAATACAAATTACATTGGTATTAAATATCGTGTTTTCGTGGAAACACTGCATTCTAGTATAGTAATCAGTTTGAGAGGAACCTACCTTAACTTTTACTAACAAATCAAGCGTTTGTGAGGGCTAGAGCCTTCGTATTCGGTGCACTATATGAATTTATATATGTGTCAGAGTGATTACGGGTTAACAAAAATTCAAGTTCAGGGATTAATAGAAGGTTGCAAAACCTTAACTTAATTGGGAAAAGGATAATAATGGCAGCGATGATAATGTAAATGTAGTTGCCATATCTCTTTAGATAGCATGGCGAGTTGTATCGACAATCAGCTTAAAAAGTACATCAATAAGAATACAGTCGAACCTGTAGCTTTATTTTTTTGCGTTCGAGCCATTTCGGCTTCAATTTCCTTTATTTTCTCAATGATACCCATCTTTCGTCGTATGAAAGAGCTGGCCTCAAATCCTGAAATTTTAAGTTATCACGGATTGGTGATAGTAAGATCCATAAAATTGAAACCTGCGTGAGGAAGCCACAAGATTTGTGTGGACGCAAACCAAAAAAAAAAACCTTATATAGATAAAGAAGCGTCAAAGGAGGTGTCACCGTGTCAGCCGTCAAGATGCAAATCCAGTGTGACGCCGCTGCCGCCGGGTGCCGATCTCTCTTTCTCTCTGGCTCACCGTCTTGCCCTCACTCTCTAGCTCTCTTTACCTTTCCAGCTACGTCTCCCACAGGCGAGCCCTGCGTGTTCGCGGCCACTTCAGTGCGAGCGAGCACTATTGGCAGGGGACGTCAATGTGGGTTAACCGGTAGGGTTCGTGTTTGACCCGAAATTGAGGCCATCTGATTACAACCAATCGAACTTTAGACATTTGTTATGTGAAAATTGGCTTCATATGTAGATGATTTATGTAATTGCTTAAATATTTAAATTATTTATTTATTTGTAAAAATAAGGTTGAAAGTTTAACTCACCCATTTCTTTGCGGGTGCTTAATAAGTAGTTGGTGAATCATAGCAAGGGAACTCTCCCATAAGGGGGTCCCATCTAGAGAACTCGTCTAATTATCCAAGAAGAACTATTCAGCTCAAGCTCGTAGAGAACTTTTCTAGAGTGATTAATAGGTGCCACTCATCTGAACCTACAAAGGAGCTTGCCATCTGTGAGGTATTTGGGGATTTCTCGCCAAGCTAATAACCT